CCAAAGCAGCCATTTTCTCCAGGGGAAACTGATCTCTGTCATCTGGAAATCAATTGTAGCAGTGGGAGATCTCCAGGTCCCACCTGGAGTTTGGCAACTCTAGGGGAAAGTGTGCTGCACAGCAGGGGGTTGAAGAGAATGGTTTGATGGGTGCTGGGCCAAGATTGGCAACAATAGTTCCCCAGGAGCAAATGGCTGGGTTGGAGGGTGGAGTCTATGGCACTGTAACCTGTCTGAGGTCCCCATCTCCCCAGGCAGCTTTTAAAACATGATCCTGGGACCTACACACCACCAGACATTCCACCTAGGGAAAGCAGCTGTCATCATTCTCCTCTCCCCCTATGAGGTATGTTAAGGTTGAAAGTGTGTGAATGGTCCATAATCCCCCAGGCAGCTCTTAAAACATGTTCCTGGGACCTACACACCACCAGACATTCCAACTGCCTTGCGGGGGGGGGAGTATGAGGTGTGGAATGGAGTGAAGTCCAATCAGCTTCCATATGCAAAAGACCTTGAAGGTTCCATATGCAACTGACATTCCAACTGCCTTGCGGGGAAGGGGGTGAGTTTGAGGTGTGGAATGCAGTGAAGTCCAATCAGCTTCCATATGCAAAAGACCTTGAAACACTGGGCGGGACTGTATAAAGCAGCCAGTCAACCCAGCCAGCGTCTTCTGACTGACAGTTCAAGCGTCTATACACTAAAGGAGTGCATTTTAGAACTTTGGCACCCACTACTCAATTATATATAAGGAGAGATAGGGCCAAAGCTGGTGCAACACAGATGGTTTGGCATATAATTTTTGCAATTTTTGCAAAAATATTCTCCCAGAACTGTGACACTATTGGGCACAGCCACCACATATGGATATAATCGCCTTACTGATAACACTCTCTCCAGCATTTTTTATTATTTGTGTTGGTTATTCTTGCAAGGCGAACTGGGCTGAAATACCACCTGTGTAATAATTTCAAGGAGTTCTCTCTAAGAGCTCTTGATATAGTTTTCCTTGTTTGGGTTTACCATATATTATTCCAAATATTTTGCTCGATCTTTATTCCAATATCTTTCTCCAATGTTATTTTCAACCCATTTAGTGAACCTGAATCTGTCTCAATTAAATAAGTGTATATTTTAGAGGTTACTCCTTTTAGATGTGTCATATGTTGCATTAAAATCTGTTCAATTTTCAGTAGCTTTCTAGTCATGATTTGCTTTACCATAGAGTTTACAATTAGGTAATGCAGCTGATATAGTGAAAACCAGTTTAACTCTCCTTGCAATTTTTCTTTTAATTGCATCACAGTAAAAGGAGTCTTGTCTACATAAAGATCTCTCATTCTATAGATCCTTTTCTCTTTCTATCTAATATAGCTTTCTGATTTATCCAGACATGAAAAATTGGGATGTAGTATGATAGGAATCAACGGGGATATCCCTTGGATCAGTTTATTTTTCTATCTAATCCAAGTTTTAATGTAGTGTATAGGAAAGGGTTCTGTACCCATTTAATGTCTCTTTCTTTTTTTCCTCCGAAAACAATTTTCTCAATTAAATCCAGATGTTTCCCATCTGCTTCCATGCTCACCCATGACTTATCAGAGATTCCATTTAAATATGGCACCAAGGCTCTCAATTGGTTTGCCTCATAATATTTGCTTCTATTTGGTTCTCCCCATCCTCCTTGATCCGCCGTTTTGTACCTTATAACCTTCATAAGTCTTGGTCTTTTACCTTGATGAATAAAATTGGTAAAGTTTTTTTGCCAGCAAGCGAGATCCCTTGATGTGATATATATGGGAAGTGTTTGAAAAAATAATTTAATTTTTGGGAGTGCCATCATTTTGATAGCGTTGATTCTACCCATGATTGTCAACTGTAACTGGGACCATCTTTTAATATCTCTTCTTATTTGTAGAATAACCAGGTGGAAATTTAGCAGCTGTAATTTATTTAAATTCTTTAAGATAGTAACTCCCAGATATTTGAATGATTTATGATGTATGGAAAATCATTTCGAATTTCAAGTTGCATTTTTGGATTTATATTTATGTATAGTATTCTAGACTTCTTATCCTGCAGTTTTTCCATAATCATAAATCTCCTTCATTAATTCAGGTAGTGCTTCTTTAGTATTTTTCATTAATACAGCTACATCATCTGCAAACATATTAATCGTATGTACAAGTCCATTTATCTCTAGACCTTGAATCTGTTTATTAGCCCTTACTGCAATTGCCAGAGGTTCTAATGAAAGGATAAAAAGCAAGGGTGACAAGGGACAGACCTGTTTAGTTCCTCTAGTTAAGGGAAAACTAGCAGAATCAAAACCATTTATTTGTACTCTAGCTTAGATTCTGTTATGTATGGAAATAGATGAATGTATGAGCTTAAGTCTGACCAAGGTATTGTAAACTGACCTATCAGAACAAGGGAAGTTCTGGAGGGAAGCAAAGTGATTGGTCTTTATGTACTGCATTTGATTCGATCTTATATGACATGTGGGCGTGGCTTGCCAAGCCCGGACTGTTTAAAAAGCAGCCTGTTGCTCCATAGTTTGTCTCATTCTGGTTCTTCTGACTTCGTGTTCAATAAAGCTGTTATCACTGTTCACCTGCTGCCTCGAGTCTCGTATCTAAAAATTGGGAATGAGGATGGGATTATAGAGTGGGTAGACAGCCCCGCTGAACCAACGCCAGGACGGCGGACGACCAAGAAGGCCCTGAGGAATTCAGGGCAGAAGAACGAGAGCTGGCTGATCAAGCAGCTGCAGCACCTGTGCCAGTGCCGGCACAAAGAGCAGTGATGGCCATCAACCCACGGTTCGAGGGATTCGAACCCGACCTCGAGGACTGGGATTCCTACCTGTCCAGGTTCGAGTTCTAGGCTTACCAGCTCGAGGGTGAGGACCAGCAGAAGGTGATGCTCCTCAGCTCCTGCGGAAGGGCTGTCTTCGACGTCGCCCGGTCCTTAGTCGCCCCGGTTGAAATCAAAACAGTGTCCCTGGCTGAACTCAAACTGAAACTGCAGGAGTATTTCACACTGCAACCCTCGCAGATCGCTAGCCGACACGCATTCTACAAGTGATCCCAGGTCGCAAACGACACAGTTGCTGAGTATGTATCGGCCTTGTGGAAGGCCCATGCAACTTCACCAACCTCGAGGAAGCGCTCCTCAACCGACACGTCTGTGGCATGAGGGACGAGAAGCTACAGCAAAGATTGTTCGTGCGAACGGCTCTCACCTATGCTGTGGCCTACTCCGAGGCTGTCGCCACTGAGGCCGCTGAGAAGGCAACCCAAGAAGTGCATCAAAACCTGGTCCCAATCCAACAGGGGACCAACAAAGCCGTACACCATGAATCAACGAGCGAGTCCAATGGTGAGCGTGATGACGTCAACCATTCTTGTACTCTGAGACCCAAGCGGACCCAAGTGAAACCTGCACCGCGGCGAACCTGTGCTGGATGCGGTGGAGATCATGAGCGGGATCGATGCTGGGCAAAGGACCTAGTTTGCCGGTCCTGTGACAAGTGAGGCCATTTGGCCAGAGTCTGCAGGGCCAAGAGGAAGAAGACACCACCGTCGTCTCCTCATGCAAGCCCCCGGGTTTGAGGCAAGGACAACGTGAGGTCTACAGATTGCCATCTGACCAACTGCTGTTCCTGCCTTTCGACCATCCTGAGGACCGGATCGCGAGCAAAGAAGAAGATCCACGTCACTGTCTTGCTGAATGGCGTACCTTGTGAGATGGAGGTCGACTCGGGATCATCAGTGACCATCATTTCATCTGAAACCTTGCAACGTTTGTTTCCGCGATGGAGCCATCGGCGTTTGCAGCCGAGCACCATCCATCTTTCCAATTTTCAGGGAAGGCGCATCCCTGTGGCTGGCGAAGCCACATCTGAGGTACAATTCAAAGGGTTCAAGGAGTCTCTAAGTCTCCTTGTTGCCGAGGGGCGCCGAGCCAGTCTGTTGGGCTTAGACTGGTTTGGGGCCCTCGGAATTTCTATAAGTGGTATTAACCAAGTCAATGCAAATAAATTGAATTCACTGTATGTGGAATTTGCAGATGTTTTTGATGGTACGCTGGGAATGTATAGGGGGCCACCTGTAACGTTTGACCTAGATCCTGCTGTAGCGCCTATACGGCTTAAGTATCGCAAGGTACCGATTTCTCTGAAACCGCATATAGAGTCCGAGCTGGACAAACTCGTGGCTCAAGGTATGCTTGAACCGGTGTCAGACTCAAAATGGGAGACCCCTATCATGACACCAGTAAAGCCTGACGGGTCTATCGGAATATGTGCCAATTACAAATGCACAATCAACAAGGCTCTGCAGCAGCACTCTTACCCAGTCCCCGTAATTAGTCATGTGTTGGCATCATTAGGGGAGGGTAAAGTCTTCGCCAAATTAGATCTGGCTCAGGCTTATCAGCAGCTGCCATTAGACCTCCAGGCCGCCATGGCACAAACCATTATCACGCACAGGATTGCGTTCAGGGTTAATCGCTTGTAGTTTGGCGTAAATGTGGCCCCAGGCATATTCCAAGACCTAATGGAGGGTTTGTTAAGGGACCTGCCAGGGGTGGTCCCCTATTTCGACGATGTATTGATTGCCGGCCGGTCCGAGGATGAACTGGCAGAACGCCTCAGGTCCATTTTACGTCGGTTCCAAGAGGCTGGTTTGAAGGTAAGAAGGCCAAGTGTCATTTGGGAGTACCCAGCGTAGAATTCTTGGGGTTCCAAATCGATGCTGACGGTGTCCACCCTATGGAAGCAAATGTACAGGCCATCCAAAACGCCCCAAAGCCTGGCTCTAAGAAGGAACTGCAATCCTTCTTAGGAATTTTAAACTTTTATCACACCTTCCTGCCATATAGCCGAACCATTGCATCGCCTCCTCAACAAGGGGGCAAAGTAGGAGTGGGGCTCTCACCACGACCGAGCTTTTACGCTATTAAATTGTTGTTGTCATCCGATGTTGTCCTTACCCACTATGACGAATCCAAGCAAATTGGTATTGGCGGCAGATGCATCTCCGTATGGGGTGGGGGCTGTGTTGAGCCATGTGCTGGCAAACGGCAGGGAAGCGCTGATTGCTTCCTACTCTCGGACACTCACCCTGGCCGAGAGGAACTACGCCCAAATCGATAAGGAGGGGTTGGCGCTCGTGGCTGGTGTAAGGGCAGAAGGACTCTGATAAATGGCTCTTTGAAATAAAGAAGATGCTCAGAAAGTTCTCTCATAATAACTAATTTACTAATATAGAACAATGTGAAAAACAAGAACTCTACAAGTATATTGTTTTACTAACTCTTTTAATACTAATATTAAGGTTAACATAAAGGGGGTCTCCCACTCTTGGGTTTTTAGTTAGTGTGGGTTTCTTTCCTTTATCCATAGTTGTAGTTCCCCTTCCTATATTTTTCTTTGTAGTTTGTAGTCTTATTGAAAAAATATAAATACCCCTCCGGGGGTTTAAAAAAAAAAAGGAAGAAGGTGACGTGATAAAAACCAACTGAGAGGCAAACTGAAATTCAATTCAGGCAAGACTGTGGTAATATTGGTCATTGACAAAGCTGCTCAAGGACTAGGGAGTTAGCCTGTCCTGGATGGGG